AAAAAATTACTCACCGACCCCATGTATGATTATATGTAAATTAAGTCCCTATTAAGTTTTATGATGACTCCATTAGTATATTTGGTAGTTGTTGTCGATTTTATCGTATAAAAAAGATGGATCGTAAAAGAGTAATATAATGATAAGAAGAGTATGTATAGTCACAATATATACATTCTCTGAGAAAATTTATTCTTTTACTATTCATATCTATTTACACCGAGTGAATTTGAGAAGTCATCACACGATGTAGAAATAATTACGAAAAAAATAATCCGAACAACTCTAAAAAGGATTATACTCAAATATTTGTCACATTTGATCTTCTATATAGGGGAAGGAAGCGGTAGTTAATTTGTGCGAAGGTAGATTTAAATTATGGTTTTATTTTCAACAAGAAATTAATCCACTTTTGGTATAATTAAAATTTAAATTTAAATTTAAATCAAAGTCAACAATTAATCTTAATCACATATTTTATGAGATTCGCAGCTTTTTAACCACACATTTATCGACTTTGATCAAAATTTAGTTTTAATTTTCACTAAACGAGAGCTAAATGTTTCCATAGTAATTCTCTATCTTCTTTTATAAAATTAAAAAAGGCTTTCGAGCTAGGAGAATTTCGACATGTTTGAGCTAAATTAAATAAGTTGAATATTGGTAACCATTGAATATGTAATTAAGGGTATGTTTGGGTCAGATTAAAATATAATTTTAATTCAAATTAAAGTCAAACAATCAATATTAACCACATTTTTCATGGATCCTATATTTTTTCAATCACACATTTCAAAAATTTTTATCACAATTCACTAAAAATCTAATTTTAATCATTACCAAACACCCACTAAGTGGGTTGAAGGAAGCAGTAGCCATACCTACTAATAATTCTTCTAGTGGATGTGAGTTTCCCCAAAAAATGTACATGACACGCTTTGAGAAATCATTAGAGATATTGGTATTTGAAACGGGATGTTATGGGCTCATACTTCAGTTTTTCTATGTGTACAAAAAATTGCCAGCACACACACAACACAGGTGGAGCCCACATTTTGTTTAATATTTAATTTCACGTGAGGCTCACCTCCATGTGAGTTTCCTGTTGAACTTCTGTGGTGATTTTTCTGTACAAATGGAAAAATAAATAAAAATTGTGTCCAAATACAAGTCTCCTGATTGCCAATCACTCACGCTTACTTCCCTTGCCCATTCTACCGTTTGCTTGAAATACAATAAATCATAATTTTATATGATTTATTCATGTTCTTTTTTAGGTGTTTGATTTCTTAGATTCACATCTTAATCGTACTAATCAATTTTTTCTAGTAAAAAATTGAGGTTACTGTTACTCATATAAACAATCGTAAAGTTAAATTCCACGTGACAAACTGGCAGGCCCACAGGTGGGATAGCTGGCAAGCGACCTTGTGCATGCCGAGGCGATCTCAACCCAGATGTTCCTCGTCCGAGCCCTGTCGACGAAGGCATCATCTCGCCTCTGATGAGGTAGTAAGTCAACCAAGCAAATTAAATGAAATGATTGACAAGACAACACCCTATTAGCATCGTCTCTACACACCTTCGCCAGTTAGATCATGTGTCAAGGAAAAGACAAGGAGACTTAATCATTAATGACTTTATTGATTGATTGACTCTAACATGGACCCTTGGATCCTTTGCGATCGGACGGACCCCATCCATTCATGATGGGATATAAAAAGCTTTAACTCCAGACGTAAAGGGGGGATGAAATCCAGAGATTAAGAGAGAACGTGGATTCTTCCTGCCATGTGCAACGATCGACCCCTTTTTATTTGTAAAGACTGT